GGTGAAAGAGTGAAACTCTGTCTCAAAAACAAAAATACATTAGCAGGCTGTGGTGGCACACACCATAGACCCAGCTACTCAGGAGGCTGAGGCAGGAGGATTGCTTGAATCTGGGAGATGGAGGTTGCAATGAGCTGAGATTGCATGACTGCACTCCAGCCTGGGTGACAGAGTAAAATTCTGTCTCAAAAAATATAAAAATAAATAAAGAGTACGTCTGGTTACAGATTGTAGAGTTATGATCACATCGGGTTATAATCACCACTAACCCTGTCTTATGTGTAGGAGAAGACAAGGCTAGGGTCATTTATCTTTGAAGGAACATATTGACTTAAGCAAGACACGTAGGCTGTGTGCTCTGTCCCATTATGTCTTCAGAGCATCTTTCCAGAGAGCTGCACGTGGTCACAGAGGCAGGGCTTTGTGAAATTATGTTGGCAAGCAGAAATGGGCACGCAGGCTTCTTGTGCTGCTGCTTCATCTCACACGAGGTACTCTGGCACCCTGGTCCCACACCGCTCCTGCTGCTCCTGGCCTCAGTGGGGAGGAGGGCCTCTTCGGCCAGCCTGCCTGGGGTTCTGTCACCCGAGTGCCAGCTCCCACTTCCCCAGCACTGCTCTCTAGGGGCCAGTGGGTAGCAGACCCGCTCACCTGCCTCTCCTCACCCCAGCCTGGAGAGTCCTCCTGCGGCCCCGTCACCTCCTGCTTCTCCGGCACGCTCTACCTACATGGGAGATTCGAACTTTCCCCTTTCTCCCCTCTCGAGGACTTGGACTTTAGGGGAAGAAAACCAAAAGCCTAAAAGACCGAGAGGTACCTTCTACTTTCAGTCCTAGAACAACAGACCAGGGTAGGCTCCTGCATGAACAGGGAGAAAAGGTGAAATGGAGGGAAAAAGTCAGTCAGTATAGACAGGCCCAGCTTTGCAAGGCTCCCATCTATACGCACAAGTTTTCCTTACCACAGCTCAGTTCAATAACACCAGTCTCCAAACAACACAGTTGAAGTCCCAGTTACCGTGGTAAATTACCCATGAGTAATTGAATAAAGCACCAGCTTTGCTGCAGCTCTTCAGTCCACAAATCACTACATCATAAATGACAGAAGCGTGTCATGCTCATGACTGTGGGTCACTCACATCATTGACCCACAGAGATGAATGTGCGATAAAGAAATAAAATGTGATAACCCTGGAGGGGACATTCCAAGCAAATATAAGTGCGGTCATAGAGGAAACAGCCATGGGAGGGAACGTGGACGCTGCCACTGACCAGGGGCTCCAGCAGTGCAGCCAGAGGGCGGCCTGTCCACATAAATAAGAAGGATGACGATGTTCCAGGGGGTGTGATACCAGCAAGAAACCTCACGTGAAAGGAACTCTGGAAGATATCTTGCAACACTGCAAGTGCAAAGGATGTAATGTTGGAAGCTGATCCAACTAGAAAGGAGCATGGCAACTCCCCAGGGCCCAGAGAAGATGCTCAGCCTGGGCCAGGCTTGGTGACTCCCGCCTGTAATTCCAACACTGTGGGAGGCCAAGGCAGGTGGATCACTTGAGGTCAGGAGTTCGAAACCAGCTTGGCCAACATGGTGAAACACTCTCTCTCCTAAAAATATTTAAAAAAAATTAGTCAGGCATGGTGGCGCACATCTGTAATCCCAGCTACTCAAGTGATAATCCCTGCTGAGGCAGGACAATCACTTGAACCTGGGAGGCAAAGGTTGCCATGAGCCAAGGTCCTGCCACTGCACTCCAGCCTGGATGGCAGACTGAGGCCTTGTCTCAAAAAAACAGAAATTATCAGTGTTTCTAATGTTTTAAGTTAGAATGTACTAAATCAATATTTAGTTTACTATTTTTTTTTTTTTTTTTTTTGAGACGGAGTTTCGCTCTTATTACCCAGGCTGGAGTGCAATGGCGCGATCTCGGCTCACCGCAACCTCCGCCTCCTGGGTTCAGGCAATTCTCCTGCCTCAGCCTCCTGAGTAGCTGGGATTACAGGCACGCACCACCATGCCCAGCTAATTTTTTGTAGTTTTTAGTAGAGATGGGGTTTCACCATGTTGACCAGGACGGTCTCGATCTCTTGACCTCGTGATCCACCCGCCTCGGCCTCCCAAAGTGCTGGGATTACAGGCTTGAGCCACCGCGCCCGGCCCTAGTTTACTATTTTTAAAAAAAATAAGAGACAGAGTCTCTGTCACCCAGACTGGAGTGCAGTGGTGCAATCTTGACTCACTGTAACCTCACACTTCTAGTCTCAAGCAGTCCTCCTGCCTCAGCCTCCCAAAGGGCTGGGGCTGCAGGCGTGAGCCACCATGCCCAGCCAATAAGGACAGAGAAGACTTCAACACTTTCAACCAACATGGCCTAATTGACATTTCTTAGAACACTCCACCACCAACAGCAGAACACTGCCTTCTAAGGTTGGGAGTCAAGGCATAGCTGTACTGAAAATCCAAGGAAGCCTTGGCCGGATGTAGAGGCTCATGCTTGTAATCCCAGCACTCTGGGAGGCTGAGGCAGGAGGATCCTCGAGCCCAGGAGTTTGAGACCAGCCTGAGCAACATGGCAGAACCTCATCTCTACAAAAAATAACAACAAACAAACAAAAATTGCCTAGGTGTGGTGGCCTGTGACTGTAGTCCCAGCTACTCAGGAGGCTGAGGTGGGAGGATCGCCTGAGGCCGAGAGGGCGGTCCAGGCTGCAGTGAGCCATGATCGTGCCACTGCACTCGAACTTGAGTGACAGAGTAAGATCCTGTCTCAAAAAAAAAAAAAGAAAACAGAAAATCCAAGGCTAGAGGAGCCCTGGGGAGGGCATGTTGATAGAACATAAAGCAGCCTGAGGGCCAGGCCTGGAGCCCTTCAACCTTTAGAGGTGGGGAAGAGCGGGGTCCAGCAGAGGAGACTGAGAAGGAACCTTGGTGATGAGGAGGATCTGGAGAGCGTGGCTGCCGGAGGCCAGGGGAAGCCGGTGTTCAGAGAAGGAGGGCGTGCGGCCGCATCGATGTGTCCACGGGTCAAGCAAGATGAGGACTGGTCCCTGGATTTGGCCACGTGGAAGCCACTGATGACCTTGCCTAGAGTGCCTGCCCAGGAATGTGGGGATGGGGTGGGAAGGGCAAGCCCACCTATGCTTATTCTCAAGGAGTTTTGCTGGAAAGGGCAGCGAGGCGGTGGAGAGGTGCTGGCAGTGGGCTACAGAAGGGCTTCCTTTTTTCCATTTTAAAGAAGGGATAGAATAGCTTGGACATCAGTGGAGTCAATCTGGGAGGGAGAGAGAACATCTGGGAGCGAGGGGAGAATTTCAGAGGTGACACCCTGAGAGGAGATGGGGCCCAGCACACCCCAGGGAGTAGTGCCCCTGGCTGGGGACACTGATAGGCTTTGGTAAGAGAAGGGGCCACACATCGCCAGAGGGAAGGGCCAGAGCGGTGTCAGAGGTTTTGAGGGTCTGTAGGCAGCCTGGGTTAATCCAGGGGATCAGGAGAGCCAGATGGGAATTGTCTGCCCAGGCAGAGACAAGCTTCACTAATGTCTTCCCTGTGGGCAGTGGGGTGCAGGCTGGCATTTTCCTTCTGGTCATTGTCATTACTTGTTCGGTGACCTTGGATAAGCAATCCAGGTGACCTTGGGAAGGTGAGCCTCATGGCGTCACCAGGATGGATGGGCAGCAGGATGGGGAGGGGGGCCCCCAGTAAGCAGAAAAAAATTCCATGTGACGTGTCCTCCTCTGCCACTAGACGGCGACAAGAGACTGTTCTGTTCTCACCATGTGCCTCAAACGCCAACCTGCTGGGGTCAAAGCCTCCAGGAACTGCAAGTGGCTAAAGCCTCACCCTGAGGCTCACCTGACAAAGCATCAAGACAGAAAGGGCGTGGGTCCCGGAATGAGCTGCATCAGAAAGCGTCCTGTAGCCTTTCCAACCCTGTGAAGTCCAGCCCTGCCCTCCAGCAGCACCCTGACAGCTCCAGAGATGGGGCCAGGAAGGTCCTGGTCCACGGCGCACCCCAAGTCCCCACAGCCACCGCGGCGCCCCTTCCTCGGGGTAAGGCATTGGTTTCACTCCCTCCAACCAAGCCCGTGCTTTGGTCCAGGCCCTGCTGGCACTGAGAATCCCGAGAAGCTTTGAACTTCCTGCTCTCATAAGTGGGGATGAATGAATGAAAGAATGAATGAACCCAAGATGGAAGTTCTTCTTTAAAATTTATTATTATTATTATTATTATTATTATTATTAGTGGCGGGGTCTCACTGTGTCGCCCAGGCAGGAGTGCAGTAGCAAGAACACAGCTCACTGCAGCCTCGACCTCCACCTCAGCTGTTTGAGTAGGGGGGACCAAGGGTGTGCACCACCACACCTGGCCCAGCATGGAGTTTTCAGGGAGCGGAGGGGGATCCTGGGCACAGAGCCCAAAAGTGCTGGGCCAGCAGGGGTTCCTCTGAGGGGCTGGTGCTGCCTGAGGGTTGGGAGAGGGAGGGGAAGGATGATATGAGACTGGGCATCCAACTTGGGACTTGGGCGTGAGGAGACCCTGTGTATGGTATTTTTAAGGGAAGGGTGGGAAGGGACAGGATCTCATCCATGAGACAGTACGTCACGGATTTCCGATCGGATATGAGTGCCCTGCCAGCCACCATCATCTCACATCCACCCAGAACAAATTCTTTCTCCAGCTTGCCCGGCCCCCTTCCCTGCCCAGAGTCTGTCCAAGCAGATTTTACCACAAACAGGAAAAAGCTGAGGCACCAGAACAAGAGGTGGGAGAAACCAGGTTTGGGTGAAGGGCCCTACCCCCACCAGGGTCAGCTGGGAGTGTGCCGGAGTCAGTCCTGTGCCAGAAGGCAGAAAGGGCACCTTGAAAGAAGCTCCCCTCACCCTTGAGCCCTGGCGCAGCGCAGCCAGCCACCCAGGTAATGCACTTAAAGCACTCAGCACACAGTCAGCGGTGACCACTCTTCTCATTATATATTAAATAGAACACACATCTTTCCAGAACAGAAAGCAAGCACGTTTGGTCCATTTACGAATCCTTGTGCACTGGTTGTTCAGGTTCCTTCAGTTCCCATCCACTAAGAAATAACAAAGTTGTTTCATTTTGAGCCTACCCTACAGGGCCGCTGCAGCTTGTTCTCTTGGCCTGGGGCCAGGGTGCAGATGTTTGAGTCCCTTGGATCCCGAGTGGCTGCGACTCCCAGCCTGGTGCTGACTCACGGTGCAGCCGGCATGCATCCTGCCCATCAGCCAGATCCCTGCAGGTTTCTGAGTCTCAGCTGGTACATGACCTATTCAGAGTTCACTGACCTGCACCTAACAGAATTTCCTCTTTGTCCCTCTTTCTATCCTTAAAGGACATGTGAGGGAAACCCTCTGCATGGTGCCTTGCACGCCATGAGCGCTCAGCGCTCGCTGTCAGTGGTGTGTTATTATTATTCATTACTGTTAGGATCATTGCACAAACTCATTGCAGTTGCTTTATTTTTTTTCCGGGAAGATTATTCAGAACTGCTTGGGCACATCATACCAGGGTGGACTGATGGAGGGCAGGAAGATGGGGTATTGATCTGTCCCCTCTTCCACATGCTCCTTAAAGACAAGAATCATCTGATTAGTCTCCATGTTCCAGCAACCCCCTGGGACCCAGCAACCAGTAATTAGGCAAGGAATAAGCTTATTGCATGTTCACAGTTTTTCAAAGATGATTTGGGAGAATCAAATCATACCATCACCATTCCACCAATCAGGACTTAGCACTCTGACAGTGCACTTTGATGTTAAAAAAAAAAAAAAAAAGCCATTGGCTTCCCTCTCTCCACCCAATTTAAGAAAGAAGTTATGAATGTGAACTTTCAAAGGCCAATTACTACCCCTTAGAAGAACCTACGACGTCTAAAGTACAAACATGAGCATCCTGAATTCTGTTTCTTTTATTATTTTACAAAATTTTAAATTTTTAAATATACACAGAGATGAAGTCTCGCTTATTGCTGACCAGACTGGTCTTGAACTTCTGGCCTCAAGCAATCCTCCCATCGCAGCCTCCCAAAATGCTAGGATTACAGGTATGAGCCACTGCACCCAGCTGGCCCTTATATAGTCATGGTGTAGGGGAGGAGGTTGTGGTGGGTCAGAACTAAGGGGAAACTTTGTGGGCAGGCAACCCAGTCCCTGCCTTGTACAGACCCAGATACTGAGGCTCACAGAATGACAATGCCGGCTCTGGGAGGCTGGAGGAGCACCACTGCTGCCCTCAGTAGGTCTCCCTCTTGGTACCCTCAGCGTCCTTGAAGACGGTGATTTTTGTCATTAGGAACCAGATCCCATCACAGCTTGACTTTACCTACAGTGAAGGTGTCATTCCTGGCTTAACCTTATACTGCCCTGAAGGTCCCCTCCCGACCTGTCCCTTTCCAGCCTGGCAAGGGGACCCTCTGAGCACGCCTGTCATCTCCTCCCCCTCTGGAAAGCATCCTCAATTCCCCTGTCTATATCTAATAACACATCTGTCGTGCCTGTATTTTGGTACCTGATATGCATCATTCATTCATTCATTCAATGAGAACATTCAATGAGAGGTTAAGAGCTTAGAACGACGCCGGGCGCAGGCTAAGCGCTCACTAAACGTTAGCTCTCGCCCAAAACATCACTTATTCACTATAAAGTTTCTCGGGCTGTGTGCTATTCGCTGTCTCCACAGCAGTGAAGAAGACAGACGCGGCCCCTGACCACCCGCGCCGAGCCCGGGCGCAGAGCCAGGACGCCGCCCAGCCAGGTTCGCATCTTCAGCACTAGCGGGGCAGAGGCTGCGGGCCCCGCCCAGCGCCGAGACTACAAGTCCCAGAAGGCCGCGCGACGGCGATGCCGAGCCTTCTCCCACGCACGCGCGCCGCCGTGACGCCGAGGCCGCAAGCGGGCGCGGGTGGCTGCGGCCGCGGGCGGGGCGGGGCGGGGCGGGGCGGGGCGGGGCGAGGCGGGCCGGGGCGGGGCCGGCGGGCGGTGACTGACTTTAGGGCGGAGTCGGCTCCCGCTCTCAGTCGGCGGTGGGCTAGCGGACCGTCCAGCTTCCGGCGTCCGTTTCTGTCACTAGCTCGCTGTCTCGCGGAGTCGCGGTCGCCTTCTCATCGCTCCTGGAGGGTCCCGAGCGCGGCGCCATGTCGGAGCCCGGGGGCGGCGGCGGCGAGGACGGCTCGGCCGGCCTGGAGGTGTCGGCGGTGCAGAACGTGGCGGACGTGTCGGTGCTGCAGAAGCACCTGCGCAAGCTGGTGCCGCTGCTGCTGGAGGATGGCGGCGAGGCGCCGGCCGCGCTGGAGGCGGCGCTGGAGGAGAAGAGCGCCCTGGAGCAGATGCGCAAGTTCCTCTCCGACCCGCAGGTCCACACGGTGCTGGTGGAGCGCTCCACCCTCAAAGGTGCGGGGCCGCCAGGGCGGGGTCGGAGGGTCCCCAGGGCCAAGCCCCGCGGAGGGCAGGGCCTGCAGGTCCTCCGGGGCCGCAGATGTCCCCGGGATGGGAGGAGCCCGGCAGCTGCAGATGACCTCGGCGTAGGCTGAGCCCAGCCGGCCAGGTCCCCTGGGCCGCAGACGCCCCGCGGAGGCCGGCGCGGCGCCCGGGGCTCGCCCTCGCCACACCCACTAGTCGGCCCGGAGCCCCCATCGCGCCCCCCTCCTGGTCTCGAGGAGGGGAAAGGGGGCCCCGTCTGCCGTCACCCAAAACAATGGGGTCGCTTTGTCTGCTCGGGCCTCTCAAGATGGCCGAGTTGGGTGGAGACAGCGTCTCCCTGGGCTGAGCGCGGGCGAGGCCGCATCCCGGCCTCCAGTGTCACATGAGCTTTTCGGTTTCGATTTGTGTCCAGGCAAAGCGGACTTCGGGAGGGATGTGTCGGGGGCAGACCCGCGGAGCCGGGGGCAGCCGAAGTTCTGGCTCGGGAGGGGGTCTGGCGTGTCGGAGGGGGCCCGAGCGGGCCGGTGTCCCGGTCCTGCCTTGTGGGGACCCGGAGACCAAGGCCCACAGAGCGACGGTGCCAGTCCTGGGCCTACGAGCATCACTGTTGTAGGTAGATGCTCTCACAGCATCCTTGCTGAACGGGTGTATCCCGATTTTACGCGTGAGGAAACTGAGGCTCAGGTTAAGTGATTCACCCAAGGTCACTAGCTAATCCTAGTCCTGAGACTGGACTGTATCTCAGTTCCCCGTCCACTGCATGTTTTCACTGATCATACCTTATATTTGTTTAATGCTTCGATAATCCTGATGATAACCCTATTTGAGTCTAATTTTACAGATTAAAAAAAAAAAGAAGGATTCAGGTTAGGCACCTAGTTGTGAGGGGAAGAGGCAAGAGTTAGCATATTCCAAATGTTTCTTCAAATAATGACCGCCCAGCAGCAAGGCTACATTCAACTAAGTCTGGGGCTTCCCTGCAGGCAGGCTTTCTCATTGATTGATTACAACCACGTTGTAGCCCATTATAATCACTTTGGGTGTGGCATGTCCATCTAAGAACCCAAGGATGATGTCCAAGTAAATGTTAAGGTTAGCCTCTAGGGTTTGGAGATTGTCTAAAAATGTTTGCCAGCAAGCTTCTTATAATTTCAAAAAACTGTCTGGTTCTGTCAGTAAGACCTGTACTGTCTGCCCCATCCTTAACTCAAACTGTGTTTCTGATAGCTTGTTTCTCTCAAAGGCTATTCTTATTCAGAAGATGCTTCTCTGTAGCCTTGGTGTCTGCCAGAGATTAGCAGAGTGTAAAAGAATTTTTTTTCTCTTATATCCACATGGAATATTGAAGGCAAATAAACCATCTGAGCATATTTAAAGTACTGATGTTGTTGAAGGTTGTTTACTGTGATGTTTGGGGTTATTTATTCCTGAATGGAAGCCACAAAGAGTTAAAAAAAAAAATTAACTCATCTACTCTTTTTTTTTTTTTTCCCCAAAGAACATATGTAGTCATTGTAGAAAATGCAGTATACAGCTGAAGTAAAAGTCACTGGGAATTCTTTGACCCAGATGTAATCACTGTCAGCCTTTTGGTCTGTGTCTTTCTGGTCATTTTTCAATGCATATTCATTTTATTGAAATACATTTTGATCTGCATTTTTAAAGTTACTGTATTTTCGGTAGCTTGACCATGGCTAATCCTTGACATTTTTATTGCATGGTTTATGTATTGGGGTCAGATTTTTTTTTTTTTTTTTTTTTTTTTTTTTTTTTTTTTTTTTTTTTTTTTTTTTTTTTTTTTTTTTTTTTTTTTACCATGGGTCACCATTTCTTTTTATGGAAAAAAAAATTTAAGTTTTATGTTTTGCTTCTAGAGTGATCACCAGTAATTTGCTTTGTCCAGGCATCTTAAAATTGAACATTGCTAAAATTATTAGGGTGGGGGGGACTGTATTGATGTGGCACACTATCTAGTATAAATCTCTGTATTTTTTTATGGGAACACTTTATCCTTTCAGCAAAACAAATATGCAGGTATCCAAATCTTGGCTCCATAATGACTTGCACTTTTGAAACTTGGCTAAGGAATGAGACCATGTAAAATTGAAATCCTACCTCATTCCTGTATTTATAAAAATCCTTGAAGTAGTTCTACCAATTCAACCTGTCTGTAATTTATTTTTCACTTACAAAAATCTAAGGAAAGATTTTAAAATTAATGCAATCCTATGCTATACGGCCTATTTGTCTTATTAGCAGCCTGGCTACTCGGGGACACGTTGGGTGTAAGTACAGACCCAGGACTTTTGGTAGGAGGGCTTTCTAATCAGTGGCTTTTATGAGTTAGCATTGGCATTTGTACATTTAATCAAATGTGTGTATCCAGTCGTTAATTACAGTGAAAGGTAGGCTTGCATTAATATAGAAAACATTTATTTAATAGACAGTAGTACTTTTATTTATTTTATTTCTTCCCCCCACCCTTTTTTTTTTTAATGGAAGGAGGTATCCAAACACTTGTAATTGCATATGGAAACTTTTTTCTTTCTTTCTTTCTTTTTTTATTGAGACAGATCTGTCGCCCAGGCTAGAGTATAGTGGCGCTATCTCGGCTCATTGCCACCTTGACTTTCTGGGCTCCAAATTCATTTTCTAATTTTTTTAATTCTTATTTTTATTTTTTTTTTAGAATGAAAAAGGGTCCCCCCCCTCCCTTTTTTTTTGAGATGCAGTCTTGTTCTGTTTCCCAGGCTGGAGTGCAGTAGCACCATCTCAGCTCACTGCAACCTCCGCCCCCCAGGTTCTGAGTTCAAGCAAATCTCCTGCCTCTGCCTCCCGAGTAGCTGGGATTACAGGCTCCTGCCACCATGTCTGGCTAGTTTTTGTATTTTTAGTAGAGACAAGGTTTCACCATGTTGGCCAGGCTGGTCTCAAACTCCTGACGTCAGGTGATCTGTCCCCATCAGCCTCCCAAAGTGCTGGGATTACAGGCCTGAGCCACCATGCCTGGCTTTTTTGTGTTGGGTTGTTTTTTTTTTTTTTTTGAGACTGAGTTTCGTCTTGTTGCCCAGACTGGAGTTTGTGATCTCAGCTCACCACAACCTCTGCCTCCTGGGTTCAAGCGATTCTCCTGCCTCAGCCTCCCGAGTAGCTGGGAATTACAGGCGTGTGTCATCACACCTGGCTAATTTTTTGTATTTTCAGTAGAGACAGGGTTTCACCATGTTGGACAGGCTAGTGATCTGCCCACCTTGGCCTCCCAAAGTGCTGGCATTACAGATGTGAGGCACCATGTCCAGCCAAATATAGAAACATTTTTATGTGAAGCTATATATTTTGTTTGTTTGTTTTAGCTACCCCAGCTAGCTGTAAACTTTTGTTGTTAAAGTACAGCATTGAGCTAGGTGCAGTGGCTCACACCTGTAATCCCAGCACTTTGAGAGACCAAGGCAGGAAGATCACTTGAGGCCAGGAGTTCAAGACCAGCCTGGGCAACATAGCAAGACCCTATCCACAGAAAATTTAAAGATAAGCCAGGCATGGTGTTACATGCCTGTAGTGCCAGCTCCTTGAGAAGATTGCACGAGCCCAGGATTTTGACCCTATGGTGAACTAGGATCACACCACTTTGCCTCAGCCTTGGCAACAGAGTGAGTCCTATCTCTAAAATAAATAAAGTACAGCATTACTCAAATTATAGCATAAATATTGTGAATTTAACAACTTACCTTGATAGGAATTGGAGAGTCTGTGGGAAAGGGAATGTTAACTTATAGCTTCTCATTTTAAAAAGAGAAATCTTTCTGAAGTTCCTGGCCCGTAGGAAATTATCTTCCTCATAGTATACTTACAGTATGGTGACAAAACAGGTGCTCATTACTTAACTAGCCATTTTATGTTAGCGACGTTTTTGTAGAATCTTTTACTTCAGGTACCATTTTTTGGTTGTATGTTATCCCCGTTGGGTGGCGTATGCGTCAGTTCGCAGCTGATGGAACTGCTGGCTCCATGACTTGTCTGTGCTCTCCAGCTTGTTAATGACCTATCTGGAATCAGGTGCTAGGTTGGTTGGTCTGTATGAGCGTATGTGGTTTTGGTGGGGTTTTTTTGTTTCTTTTTGGTGGGGAGAGGGTTTTGTTTTGTTTTTTTTTGAGACAGGGTCTTACTCTGTTGCCCAGGGAGGAGTGCAGTGGCACAATCACGGCTCATTGCCACCTCAACATCCTGGGCTCCCAGTTCATAGTCTAAATTTTTTTTTTTTTTTTTTTTTTTTTTTTT